TGGTTGATGGCTCTCTTCCCGTAAAACCTAGTCATTGGAGACAACAGGTCTACAAGTTATAAGCTCACAGCTCGATTGACATAGAGCACGAACGCCACGCATTTTCTCTGACGGTGCGAGGGCACCCCCGAGTGCTCAATGGTTTGCTACAGCTCGCCTCAAGTCAGGCAGCCCCTGGTCAATTGGTGCAAACCCGCCAAAACTCTCCTACGTCTGGCCGTGGTCACAGGTGTATCCTACAACGGTCGCAAAACATATATGAATCGTTCCAGTACCTCAAAGGCTGCGTGTGACGGCCGTCAAGCAGATTCCAATCTGTCTCTGCAATCACATTCCCGAGCTGAATCTGCTCCCCCCCTGCCTTGTGTGTAAGGCTATTGCACCAAATGCTCCAGACGGAGTCCAGCAAGCAAACCTCCGAAGCACAACGACCACCTCGCGTGCGATTGACCACCAATGCAATTGTATGCCTGCGCGCAAAGCACACAACATCGGGTGCTGGGACGTGAGCACACTACTGGACCGGAACTCGAGTGAGCGCCCCGGGCGACGCACTGCGCTGATCGCAATGGAACTGGCGGTCAGTGAGACTCGGCTCTCTGAGCAAAGTAAAGTGCATGAAACAGGTGTTAGTTACACGTTCTACTGGGTGGGCAACGCCACCTCAGCACCACGTAATCAGGGGGTCGGATTTGCAATATCCGATCGCCTCCATGGCCAGCTAGTGGGTGAACCAACAGCCAAAGGCGCGCGACTGATGACTGTTTGCCTACGACTCGGGAGAGGTAAGTTTGCCACTTGTATAAGCACGTACGCTCCGACCATGTGTTATCCTGATGACACGCGTTATCAATTCTACACTGAGCTATTCTCCGTGATACGGCCTGCGCCTAGGAGCGACCGACTATTTCTGCTGGGTGATTTCAACACGCGTGTTGGGCGTGGTGCATCAGTGTGGACAGATGTTATCGGTCCGCATGGCATTGATTCAGCGAATGCGAACGGTGACAGGCTGCTCTCACAGTGTGCCACTCACGGCATGACGATCACGAACACTCGGTTTGCACTGAGTGCGAGTGATGTAACAACTTGGACGCACCAACGGAGTGGTCACGCTCATCTGCTCCACTATATCGTCGTACGTCAGCGTGATATGCGTGAAGTGCGCATGACACGTGTACTGCGTGGAGCTGAGTGTAGTGCTTGTTGCATGAACTGGCCACTGAGCCTTGGTGCTATCACATGCGTGTTTTCAATATCCGTCGCAACGAGACCGGACCTTAACATGTTGCGACGGTTTGCGTACCTCGTTGTGCTATACTGGGTGATGCATCCGGGCACCTTGAGAGCTACCCCTACCAGGTAGGTCAATGGTGAGAGGTCAGACAAACTCAGTCTCCTGGTCCTCCAGGTTGGGGGTTTGAAATGGGATGGCGTCCATTTCCGTAAAACTAAATCGATGCCACCTCCCCGCTGCCTTCCGGACAGGCTTTTGAGCCAAAGGCTTTGGATGAGGACCCTAATCGTCCTCCTGTATAGGTCTGGGCGACCTGGCAGTATCTCAGCCCACATACAACCATGACATTTTCTTCAAACATAAACTTTATCCTGCATCGGCTGTCGCGCAGATTATCAAGGGTAGCCTTATCTGCTGCAAACAGCAGGGCGGATAAGCGAAAACATGATACTCCTGGCGCCTCGCTTCTTTCTTTTTCATCTGTTTCGCCTACTCCCATCCCGACCCCCATTACTAACCTTCCTTCTATAATTCCCAGTTTAATTGACAGCAACCGAAGTGTCATGTGGAGTAGAACCATCTGCAGCCACCATCGCACATCACCTATCAGAGGCCTATCGGCAAAAGTCCGTTATAAGACCACGCTATCCCGTTTCCATGGCGACATTCAACGTTTGCACTCTAAGACAAACAGGTCAACAGGCTGTACTCTCATGCACCTTGGACACACTGGGTATTGATGTGTGTTGTGTGTCCGAAACTAGGATGAATGACCTTAACAGGGTTGTTGAATTAACTGCACCTGGTTTATCCTTTCGTTATTGGTTACACGCATCCGGAGACGCCGATGCAGCACCCACGGGTCAAGCTGGTGTAGGTATCATTCTAAGCTCCAAGGCTGAGCCATCGTTGGTTGATTGGATTCCGGTGAACAGCCGTTTATGTGCAGCCCGTTTGACGACATCAGCTATGGTGGATTCACGAAGTTACAGATGGCGTGGTTCCATCCTGGATTGCCGATCGTACTGGAGTACTTGTGTCGACTCTGATCATGCATTGGTACGCTGTCGTTTCTCCATGAACTTTACCGGGAGGCGCACCAAGCGTCTTCTCCAATTGGCCACTGAGAAATTGTCTCAGCCGTCGGTCAGGCAAGCCTATCAAGAAGCACTGCATACCGAACTTCCACTGTCCTGTCCTAATGACACTGAGCTTCAGTGGAATAGTATCTCGGCCGCCATGCACAACACAGTAGCATCTGCTTGTAACACTATCCAGCGTCACAGCACCAGTCACTGGATATCCGAGAGGTCGGTGAACCTGCTGGATTCTAGAGGACACCTCCCGGCTGGTTCTGAACACAATGTGACCAGACGGGCTATTAGGCGTGAACTAAAGCGGAGCCTACGTGCTGACAAGGAAGCCTGGTGGACCAGTCGGGCTCAAGAAATGGAGGAGGCAGGAGCAGTAGGCGATTACCGCAAGCTCTTCCAGCTAATCCGCACCACTGGTCCCAGAATACCAGGCCTCAGTGAGACAATCAGAGACAGTGCGGGTGCACAGATACACAATAAGAAGCGCCGTTTGGCTCGTTAGGCGGAACACTTTCAAGATCAGTTCAGTTGGCCTACTGCTCCCGGACCTGTTCCTACTCATGTGATGCAGGACGAGCCATGGACGGTTAGTTTAGAGCCTCCGTCGGAGGCCGAAGTCCGAAACGCGATCACAGCCCTTAATCGTTTTCGTGCCGTTGACCCGGATTCCCTCCCACCTGCACTATTTAAGGATGGAGGTGAGATCCTCTGCAAAGTACTGACATCCCTATTCGAACGTATCTAGAAGGAAGAGAGTGTCCCGGCTAATTGGAGCGAATCGATCACAGTGGCAATGTACAAGAAGGGCAGTCGCACAGGGGTATTAGCCTAACGCCAGTTGTGACAAAACTATTGGCCTCGATTATCGTTCGTCGCATCACTGCGGAAGGGGATCTCGGATTAGGGAAGAGCAGGCCGGTTTCTGCTCAGGACGTGGCTGTATAGACCATATAGTCCATTTGCGGCAGGCGCTAAATCAACACCACGCATACCGCAGACCGACAATAGCTGTGTTCCTCTATTTAAAGAGTGCGTTCGATTAAGTCGATCGATCAACTGTGTTCGAAATACTCGCATGGAAAGGTTCCCACGAAATATGTGAACATCCTTCGTGCTCTATACTCTAACACTACAGGCGGCCTCAGGGTCTACCGTGGCGTATCGGATAGCTTTCCGACCACAACTGGGATTCGTCAGGGTTACCCGATTTCTCCATTTTTGCTCAAGCTCGTCGTGAATTCTATCATGGAGTGTTCCCTTGCGGAATCTCATGATGTAGGTGTTGAAGTGCTGCCTGGTGAAAGGTTAGTTGACCCAGATTATGCGGACGATATCGTCTTGCTTTTCGACGATGTTACGACGGCACAATCAACCCTGAATAGCCTGTCCAGTTTGGCCCAATTATTTGGTATGCATTTCGTACCTTCAAAATGCAATGTTGATGCAGAACCACTAGCTATTTGATGATCCCTTGACGCTTGCTAACGAGGAACTCGAGGTGGTTGATCAATTCACATATTTTGGCAGCTGCATCAGCAACGATGGGTGCATAGAAACTGACCTCAGCGCACACATTGCAAAGGCCAGAGCTGCCTTCTTGAACCTGCGGCATCTCTGGCGACAGAAGGGAATTTCTCGCCGTCTGAAAGGCCGTGTATCCAAGGCCACAGTGAGGGCCTTTCTGCTCTATGGTAGTGAAACTTGGTCCCTTCGGTCTGAGGATTTGAGGCGCTTTCAAGTCCGTGATCATCGTTGTCTGCGAAGCATTGCTGGTGTCGGATGGCACCAGCGTGTCCGCAACAATGATGTGTGTAGGCGAGTACTAGGTAGTGATAAACATGCTAGCTCCCTAGATCAACGGATAACACTGAATAAGTTGCGTTGACTCGGGCACGTGCTACTTATGCCTGGCCACCGCTTACGCAGGAGGGCCTTGTTAAGTCTACCAGATGTAGGGTAGCGCAAGGCTCGCGGTGGACAGAAGTTGACTTGACAGTGGGAATTGAAGTCACTGACAACCAAAGTGGGTGCCGTTGGTCCGTCTCGACTTCCGGGCTGGAGTCCACGTGACACGCCTTGTGCTTTGCTCGAGACTTTACAGGACATGGCTCGCAACCGACACCAGTGGCGCGTCTACTGCAGTCTCCTAATCGGATTACCTGTTTAAAGTGTGTTTGGTACTGAGTCATCTGCGAAGTAATGGCTGCTTATGACGAGAGGCAGTGAAAGCCGCAAGGAAGCTGTCTTGCCGATGCCGCCTTATCTTTGCACGATAGCCAGCTGTTTGTGGCGGTATGTTGTCTACACAAGATGTAGGCGCCTTGACCCTGAAATGTTTGCCTAGGGCATTAAGGTTTTCAGGTAAGTCCCCCTTCTCCCCCTTTTCTTATTCTTTGTTTCATAGGTCTTCATAGTCAACTGGATCAAAACTGCACGCTATTCACGTCCCTACCTTACCGCGAATATCGTTCTTTTCACCAACCTTTATATCTTTAATTAACACGCAAACATCCACATACAGCCTTTTTTTATCTCAGTGCCAATTATTGCGTCACTGAGGCCTTTACCCTGGCTTCTTCTCGCCACGGGTCACCTGAGACGTCGAGCGTGAATTGCATTGTCAATATTTCTAACTGCAATTTGATATACTCTTTACTTTTTCTTTTCAGATAATCGTGTCGCTATACAGCATAGCAAGTGATCTGATCCTGATAGCACAATTTATTTATTACAAACTGCATCATCAAGCAGTGTTGGCAAGTTAGTCCATAACACTAGTGTTCCTCACTTGTTTTTTATTCCACCTTTCAGTTGCGTCATTTATGATGTATTCCGTTGGCGCGTTGCCATTTACTCCATTTCTGCAATACTAACTGATGTTTGCTAAACCGCTTGTGCATATTTACCTGCAAAGTACAGCTTGATTTTGTTACTGCACAGAACCGTAGCGTTTCACCTTCTCTGATCATAGGCTCGCTATCGACTACTCACTTGAGTCAGGATCTGTGCTGCAGGTTAGAGTATACAAGAAATTTAAGATCGTATTTGAGTAAGAAATTGGGATGGGCGATGTAGTCCCAGAAATGTGGCAGTACTCCGAACAACGGTACACTTGCTTTCAAAAACCCACATCCACAAGCAGCTCTTCGTGTCTAAGTTGAATCGGATAGAGAGTCGGCTTCAGAATTCACTTTTTGGCAGTTGCTTGCAAGTTGTGTTTGTGAACATTATGCAGACGTCAATCCTTGTCTACACCCTTCAATCAATTGGCTTTGTCCGGTCTCACATTGCTCTTTTATGCTCAGATGTAGATCTACTGGGTCTTTTTCTACTACTGGTAAAGCGGTTATTACACAAGTGCCTTATTTCGTGCGCTTTTGCATTTTGCTAGACTATCTGTCTTGACCACGAGAGCCATATGCTTTGATCAACCCGCGTGTGACCTTTCGTTTTTGAAATGCTGTTGCTGTTGGTTATTCGAACTCGCTTTCATTTCATTACAAAGAGTGGTTCCATGGAACCAAATCGTTTATTCATTATTTTACGTATGCTTTTATTCACTTTGTTGCACTGGAGCGAGTTGTGTTGGCGATCATCACTTTTTGAAATTGAGTTTAACTTCAGCTGTGACCACCAGAAGTCTTAGGTTGTGAGCTGACACCGCCATTTCGTACATTCTCATATATCACATTCATGCACTTAGTAGTGTACTCCGTTAGGCTAAACGGATAAGCGTCTCACTGAAAAAGGCATATGGGGCACCTGGGCTACGCTTACTTGTACCAGAGAAACCACTACTTGTGCGTTCAGTGAAGACATCGACACCGAAGCAGTTTACGTCTCACCTCTTAGTCAGGAAAGCCACAGCCTAATGACGCCTTTGATTTTCATGACTCAGTGGGACAACTTGAACTAGCCGGACGTAAGATGTTTTCATTGGATGTAGTGTCCATTTTCACCAATGTTCCATCGGTGGAGAGCATAGATTGTCTGTGCGAGGTCATCTAGTTGCGCAGCATCCATATCGGTATCCCACGAGAAACATGCAGTTCTAGTTTAACGAATCGCTGCACCGACAAATACCCAGAGTGGCCATGGACTCACCTCCAGGGTCGTTGCTCGTGGACATCTTCATGCACAAATTGAGGAGTAACCAGTTAAATAAATCCATCTAGGTCAGGTCAGGTAGAACAAACGATAGAGGCTTTCACCTAACGAGCATCCAGTTTTTTGTGCCGGTAAGTGAAGCGGCCCCTGGCACTTCGACGTTGGATTGACTCTTCTTGCTTCTGCAAAGGAATGAAGCAAGAACAAGAGCAGTCTTTGTACTTCCATGTGTCAGCATCAAACTACCCTACATATTCCAGTACAATTACAATATCTCTGGGAAAAGGACAGACCAACACTCAACTAAGCCTTTTATGAAGACCTACAAACACATTCCACTAAATCAGAAGGAAGTTTATTCCAGATGTTAACTACTCGGTTCGTAAAAAATTTTGCACTGATGTCCAAACGAGATCTATGATGTTTGAGCTTCAGGCGATGCCCGCGCAGGTGGCCTGACATAGCCAACTCAAACAGATGGGTGGGACTAATACCACTAGGCCCCTTACTCATCTTAAACGTCTCTATAAATACTCTCTCAACCTACGCCGTTCCAAGGAAAATAATCCCAAACTACTTAGACGATCTTCGTACGACCTCCCTTGTTGATCTTCGAGCATCCTGATCGCAAGTTTCTTAATCTTTTCTATACACATGGCGTCACCACGGAGGTACGGTGCCCAGGCCTAAACACGATACTCCAAATGTGGCCTAACCACTGCTTTATATAAAGGCAAGAATACTTCTGCTTTAATGTTACTCAGCGCCCTCCTAAGACGAAACAGCTTTTGTCGCGCCTTATTGGCAGCATGGCGACACTGTGTCGAAGGCTTAAAATTGTTCACTATAATGACACCTAGATCGCGGGTTTCATCAGTACACCGCAATGATAGAGATCCCGCAGGAGACTTAACTGCAATTCCGCTAAAAAAATATGGAAGACTTCACGATTTTGCGTGTCATCCTTGCGCAGGGACCATGCTAATCTTCTCTGTATCGTTCCAAATTTAGTATATGTACATCCGAAGCGAGTACCGCATGGATGATCTATTGGCCCACTTCAGTTCCGCAAATAATAACAACATATATTATCAAGTTGGAAGGTAACGCCTCGTTGACATTTTTAGGTGTCCAGATCAATTGGATATCAGACGAGTCAATACGGATGTGTGCACAAGTAGGCAACTTGGAATAGGTAGTACATCCGTTTCCCAGTTTTGTTCCGAGAAGTTGGAAACGAAATCTCGTCCATTGTCTAACAGAGAGATCGACGAGAATACGTACACAAGGCACACTTCCGGAAAAATGAGTTTTCCTAGGCGTGTTCGAGCGTAATGGATACCTCGAAAATTCATCGGATGCACATGGAGCCACCAGGGTCAACTGTGAACCCCGTTTCCGCGAAAAAGTGGTTAATGTACCTATCGTTATCGTTTAAGGGCAACCCGATAGCAGAACGGATCACCGGAAGGCTTTCCATAGCCACGACGGAACCTACTTTGCTGCTGATCTGCGCGTAAGCTTTACCTCAACACCATTTGTGCAACAGGAACTCAAGGACAGGATACCTAGATCGCAGATTTGTGTGTGCAACTTCTATGAGTCTTGTCGAGCAAGGAAAACGACCAGGCGACTGTCCGCTAGAGCTCGAGAGCCAATTTAGCAGCCGCAGGTGTCTTCTCTTATCACGCTGTATTTCATAACCACGGTTTCCACTCCAGGAATTGTATCAGAAGTTGGTGGGGAAATTGTTTGAGCGGAACTTTGCATGTGTGCGCACAGAATGTGTGGCGTTGGTAATAATAATAACACTGCAAAATGCCAGGTGACTGTTGGCTTATTGATATTGAAACAGTTGTGGCGAAAATATCTTATTACTTTACATTTACACTGTTCGTGTTGAAGAACTCAAGGAATTCTATGACTACAATGGCGGAATACCAACGCATTTTAGGATACGGGAAAACCAGATGGCTTTCACTTATGCCAGCAGTGGAGATAATCCAGAAGGTTTTTCGGCATTGAACTCCTATTTATGTCTCGACAGAAGTGTCCTACATTAGTACAATATTTCTTTGAAAATCCCTACCTAGCTGTCTTCTTTATACACAACATCTGTCATTTTCCACGCTACTGTACTATTGAGGAACAAAATATTTCAGCACTGGAAGTGTCGTCTGCAATGCCCGAACTCCTGCAGAATTGCAGGGACAAGAGCAGAAACAGCTTTGTTCCAAACGAGGTAAAGATTCGAATTGGCCAACTCGAACAAGCGGGTCTCGTCAGCAAAACAGTTTGATGAATATTATCACCAGTTTCTACGACAATTGCGTCGATTATCTACAGGAAAGAATGAACCGATTTCAAGAACTGAGTGGCTTTAATTGGATGGCATTGGACCAACCACCGTGCTGGGAGAAAGTTGAAGCAAGCGTCAGTCTTTTTGGATTTACACTCCCAGACCTGGAAATCAAGGACAACGAGCTGGTTGACGAAGATAAAAACGTGTGTAGGCTTGCATCAGCGGACAAAATTTTCGATTAGAACTGTAAACAAATATAGGTTGATGTACGGTGGGTAGAAGTGTTTTCCCATTTCCAGACCAACTCGGTCCCATATGAACAAGTACGAAAAGTATTTAATTTATTTTCCGTCTCCCTGGGACTAATGCACCTACTGGATGAATCATCTCACAAATGATCCCTGTATGGCCAATGGAATAATGGTTCTATACGGGTAGAAAAGCTAATGATTAACAGGTCCAGTAGAATTGTTATGGTGAAAATTCGAAATATAAAAAATGGTTATCAAAACAGGATTTACACAGTGAAATCACTGAAGTATACGTAGTATAGACTGTAAATCCAAGGTAAATCCATGCGAAACGACGGCAAATTGGAGGTTGGTAGACATTGTGTATCTTTCTGGTGTACACATGCAGGAGGTGAAAAACGTGAAACGAAATCTAGGCTTTGACTGTCAGTGAAAACTCTTACAGACACTTGTGTTTATCCATGGGTAATGGGGTATTTAAGATGGTGCAGCAAAATAACTGCAAGATCAACCCTGAATTTGAACGCTGCCAGCGTGGGAGCACATATAACAGATTCCGGTAGGGTATTCCACATTCTGCATACTCGTACGGAAAGGCAATTCCGACGGCATTCTAAACGACTTTGCTACTGTGCCAGCTTGATATAGTGGCCTCTCAAATTGCGCTTAGTGAATGAGCTCTAGCAAATGGCGGCACGTGTGGTTGGGATCTCTCAAAATATGGTAAGCCAAAATGAGGTTTCCGCGCAATCGCCGATATTGTCCGCTGAAGACCCCGAGCACTCGAAGCCTTCGTTCATACGGCAAATTATACAGACCCTTGACGTTTTTGGTTGCCCGGCGTTGGGGTATCTCCAAGGCGGTGAGATCTCTCCTCAGCCATGGCTGCCAAACCTGTACTGCGTATTCCACATGTGGCCGTATGTATGAGCCGAGAAGTTGTGGAAAAATCGAGTGTCCGAGTGCATGCTTCAGGAGGCCCACGTGTTGGATGCCCCTCCTTGACGCCGTTTCAGTCTGATTCGAACATCCAAGGTCAACCTGGACAAAACTCCCAGATCCTTCTCGCCAGAAGACGTTTGAAGCTCCTGGTTGCCGAG